GACGTCCTTGGCCAAACGTCCTTCCATCCCTGCCAGTTTTGCTCATCCATACGCCTTCCTAATGTGTGCCCTCTCTGCTTCTTTGTGTGCAGTCCCCCTTCTGGCCTTCTCCCTGCCTGCCTTCCTTCCATTCCAGCCTCTGAGTCTCCACTGCTGGCTCATCCCTCTACATCTCCCCCCAGGAGTGTAACCTGTCATTCTCTTCTCCTACAGGAAGATGATTTGAATGGGATCCACATTGTGGCCTTTGCCGAGAAGAGTGACCCAGGTAGGAACCCCAAGCTGCTCTTTTATCCTTTAGCACGAACTGACTTCTCACGTTTGCCAGCCTTCACCTTTCTCTTCCAAGGCCTGTCCATGATGCAACCGCAAGCTATTGGGCACCCCCTGGTGGTGGCCTGTCAGGTGGGAGTCCTATTTGAACTGTGCACACGGCTAAGGGAAGAGGTATGACAGAACCTCCAACCTTCGGCTCAGCTGCCCAAAGCAGGCAGGCGCCCCGGGCACTGCGGGGATAGTTATAAAACTCAGTCAGGGTACAGGACATGTATGTGCACGTGCGTGTACATGTGAACTTCTGATCACATTTAACGTTTGCTTACCAATTTTGTGATCCAGCCTCTGTAAATCCTACCTTAAATAATAGTAAGACTATCCTTTGTGCCGTAAAATGTTATCTGTGCTGAGGAAACTGACTGAATAGAAAAACATTTTCCTAAATAATGAGAACCGGGCGAAGCAAGCAGCTTATTTTAAAAATCCAAGATGATCCTCTAAATGAGTAACTTTGTTTTCTCTTGGGAACTTGGACTTGTCCTTGGTTTCACTCTTTTCAACGCTCACGCTCGAGAATGAGTGCAGGAAAAATGACTCACAGGTGGCAAAATGCTGGTTCCCTGTGGCGATGGGTATCCACAAGGACAGTGGAAGTGCAGTGGGAAACCTGGGACAATTCAGGCTCACGGAGAAGGCAAGGAGATTCTTTAGGATGCCATGAGGTGCCTGGAGAGGGCTTCCCAGGCCAACAGAGCACAGAATGACAATTGCGGAAGCTACTTCACGCTGGCTGAGGCAGGCCTTCTGGGAGCCTATGACCGTAGGAGGCCCCGAGCAAGTTCAGGTGCACCATCAGTTTGGGAACCTCTGCTCCAGGGAATGGAGAGTTACCCGCATTTGTCGGGGGCCTCTCGGCCTCTTGTGGACT